CCTTGATTGTCCCATTAGGCAAAGTAAAATTGAACTATAATTTGATCATTTCAGAGATTTGTTATATTCTTGAAATAATATCAAAACAAAGGCAAACATCAATAAAACACCGTATGCCGCACATTGTTCTTCATCCTTTCATCTTCACAATAACTTTATAATTCTATTATTAATCCCATTTTATAGAAACTGAGGCACAGAGAGGTCTCAGTAACTTACCTTTGGTCCCACGGCTGGTAAATCCAGGAGCTGGGATTTCATCTCTGGTAGACTGGCAGCCACACCATTGCTAATTGCCATTAATATGGAAACCCTGGGGTAAAAAAACAAAAACCCGAGATCAAATCTGTGATCAATGTTTTTAATTACATATTTTAAATCAATTCTTAAGCCATTTTTATTTATCTGTGGAATAGCTTCCTATCATTTTCTCTTTCTGTATTATTATTTTCTCTGCTTACTTTTTCCATTTATAATGTGGACTTTTTTGTTGTTCCCTTTGACTGGGAATGAGCTGGCCGGAAAGAGGGTTTGAGTCTCTTTGTAAATAAAATTACTTTTCTAAATAAATAACTCGTCTCTGAAACAGTAGGAATCAGGAAACAAAATAACTCAGGCTATATATGAGGGTGATGTTTTCCTTGCCAAGAATGTTTCAGTTGCAGTAAACTGAAACTAGCATGATACTGTTTTAAGTCCGATTTTTATATTTTAGCATTTAGTTTGAAGCATCAACTATTGCTGAATATTTGGTTTAATTACCCAAATGATGTTGGGGTTTGGGGGATTTTTCCTATTGTTTATCTCAATGGGTACCGTGTTATATTAGTGTTTTCTAAGTCTTGGGATTGTTTATATCTTTCTAATGCACATCATTTATTTGTCAAGCTTTTTAAAAAATAGAAATGTATATGTTAATTGATATAGATACAGTGTTTTGTTTTTTTCTACCTTTCTTTAGCTAATAAAATAGAGGCTTCTGAAGAGCTGAAAGAATTGGTTTCAGATTTATCTTCTCAATTAGTCGTCTCACCTCCTGCTTTAAGGACCAGGCAAAAAAATATGTCTAATACACCCAAACTCGTAGGTGAACTGGTAAGAAAAGCATGATTTTATTTGTATGCTGGTTGAAACATGCCCCCCCCCCTTTTTTTTTTTTTTTTTTAAGCAGTGTTCCTATTTAAACTTCCTTAACACATTGAGGATGGGGCATTTAGATTGTTTAAATGCATGTTCCCGGGATTTAAACCATTGAAATCAACTTTTATACTGTTGTTTCTTTAAAAATTTATAACAAATTCGCTATTTTTGTGAACTGAGATTTTCAGGAAATACTCACCAAAGACCCTAGTAGTGCTTGAGGGTGTGATACCTCTGGAAACATTCCCCCTTAACGTATAGATGCAAATCTGCGTCACTGGTCCACCATGTGTTAAAAAGAGCAGACATTTATATTAACAGCCCAAAGTTACCTTGTGTACACTTTTAGGACCTTACGTTTAGGACAAATCTGTGGTATGTTACTGATGGCCTATTACTGGCAGCTGCAGTTTAAATTACCTATTAGGGGAAAGGTTTGTAAACTTCAGTGTCCCATCAGAATTATCTGGATGTGTTTATTTAAAATGCAGGTCCCTGAGCTCCTGGAATATCATCCACAGACCACACTTGAAGAGAGAATGTTTCAGAGTTGATTCCATCCCCTAATTGCACACAACCGTAAAATAAAAATGGTTGGGGACTGAGTATGAGACCCTTATATTTACGAATGTTAATTCATAAGCATTACTTGAATTATCTGATTAGCCAGCTATTATGCAAGGATAAAGACAAAAATATTTCAGGCAAATTCCTTGTCTTTCAGGAGCTCAGCTTAATTGAAGGGGCAAAAACACTTCTTTTGCATTATGATAAGAATCATTTATTTCCAAATACCCCTGTAGACAGAAGGTGAAAGAGACAGGCATCCCTGGCGGAGAGGCGGCAGCCGGTGCAAAGACACAGAAGCGAGACAGTGCAGGGGGAGAGGGGGCGGGGGGAGGGTGCGAGGGATGGGTGCTGTTCACACATTAGCAAAGAGCCATGTGCGTCTTTTAAGGGGTTTCTATGACAGATGAATTCTGGTGAGGAAAAAAGAGTCGCTCGTGACCTGATTCTTAGGAGGCGATGAGAGCCTGCGTGTGGACAGACACAGTGGGAACATTAAAAAAAAGAAACTGACGAGACTTGGGGACCAATTGAATGTGAAGATGAGGGATAAAGAATGGTATTTGATGACCCAAGGTTTCTACTAAAAAAATGAGTCCGTTTGCAACCTGATGAGTTTGAATTCATTAGCACTGTTTGGCTCTATTTCTTGACTCAGAATAGAACATTTTAAGATTTCAGATGTTTCATTACTTAAGATTTATCTTTTTAAATTTTAACTTATAGGAAGATAATGCTCAATCAATACAAACTGTGGAAAAGCAAAAAGTGAAAAGAATCAGGACTGATAAAACAAAACAAGCAAGCAAGTATGTATGACTTTTTCTATGCTGTAATTTTTCTCTTTGTTTCTTAAATTAGATTTGAGAAGAGTCTTAATTTGAAAGAAATTGTTAAATAGCTCATTAGAAAGGGGTAATTCTTAGAGGAATTTATAAACCCTGGCTCCTTGTAATTGTTAGATTTCATTATGGAAGGTGGATTTCTCTTTATAGCATAAAAGCCTATTCATCCTATTTAAAGAAGGTAGTGGGGTGGGAATAGTTTAGTACCCAGTGAATCTGTTTTTGCAATGGGTGTGAGAGGGAAGTGGGATGTTTCACCTTTTCCTTAGTAAAGGTAGATGACTATTAGTAAAAAGTAATTATAAACTTAAAAATTCTGTGATTATATCATTAATAGAAATAAAACTTCATCCCTAGGGATATTACTCCATATCAGATATATTTGTTACATGGTATTTTATTCATACTGTGCCTAGGTGATGTTCAATTTCATAAAAGTGAAGAAATCCATTTTATCTTACTTTAAAAACTAATTTAATGAGACTTCTGACTGTAATTAATATTATTTACACATCAATTGGCCTTGAATGTATGTGAAAAATTACTTCACATAATTGCTAATTCCTGGTGTTTGAATTGCCATTTCTCATACGCTTCATGGGCCACCTGGGCTCTCATTCCATGGACTGACCACTGGTATGTGGCCAGTCCCTGTAATCCAGCAGTATTTATTAATACATAGGAAACATTTAACGAAAATTCAGCAGTGATTGTTTTTGAACATCTAAGTCAAAAAGGAAAATTTCTGTCATGCGAAACCTTAAGTCCGCCTCTAATTAGCTTATGGCTTTGTCATAAAGTTATAAAGTTATGACTTTAAAGTCATAAACTAATTAAGCACATACAAAGTGCACCGAAGTGCTACAAGAGAACTTTTATAGAAGTTCTTCATAAAATGAAAGCACCAAGAAAGGGTGATCCCTGAAATTTCTTTTAATATATTGGGAAGCCAGTTATATTTTATATTATGATATATTTATTCTTACTTGCATTATATCTTTTTTTCAGAAAACCAGAAAAAGAAAGTTCTTGGTCACCTCCTGCAGTCGAAATTAAGCTGATTTCTCCCTTGGCAAGCCCAACTGATGGGGTCAAGAGCAAGCCAAGAAAAACTGCAGAAGCAACAGGAAAAGCTGTTGGAAGGAACAGAAAGAAACTGTCTGCCTTTCCAAAACAAGTTTTACGTAGAAAAATGCTGTAATTTTTTTCAAGTTTTTAATGTACACCTATTTGTAAAGTCATCAGAATTTTGTCGATTATTAAAAATTGTCTAATTTGGAAAATAATTTATATAAATTATTATAAATGTTTGTAAACAGAAGGTCTTCAGTAGGTAAAGCAATTCCATACAGAGTTGATTCTTTTAGTCAAGGCAGTTTTTTCTATTTTATATTAAAGTTTCATACATTTATATAATATGTAAATATGGCTTATTATTGGAATGTTAAATAAAGTGTATACTTCACAGTAGTTTGTGTCTGTTAGATTTTTGAGAGGGAATTTGTTTTAATAATAATTTTATATGCTAGTAGGCATTGGTCCCATTTTCTTTCTCTACAGTTAAAAGTATTAGACCAATCTTAAAATGAAGATGATTGAACTGTTTTTTTTTTTAAGTTGCTATTTTATAATTTATGCACTTTGCTTCTGTGATGAAGACTTCTAATCATAAAATGGTTTGTTTTGTTTTTGGGGGCAGTTTTGGCTGTTACTATGTTGAAATTATGGGCATGTACTTTTGCCACTTTTTTGTAGTTTAACAAATTTTGTGTATTCTACCTCAAATGAGTAATTTTTCAAGTAATGCATTGGTTTAAATGTAATGTTGGCATTTCTTGTTCAGCAAGCTTAAAGGCTACTTATCTTTAAAGTCTCTTAATTATTCAGAGACTAATTATCCAGGTTAGATTGACCGGTTCACTGCTCACTAGCCACCTCTGAAAGGGGTATGAGAAGGGAGGGAAATGTAAACCAGACCTGTTCCGTGGATAGTTAAAGCACTTTGTATGTGCTTAATGTTAATAGATCGAGAAGTCTGAGCAAATTTTATAAATTTTATAATATTTCTTTGAAGGAGCTTGCTACTGAACCACAGAAATCCCTTAATATTCAGGTTTTAAAACTGACAAATTCTCATAGGACCTCAGGCACAGACTATTGAGGATGGAAAGAGTGTGAGTAGATGTGGAAAAAGGGAAAGAAAAAATAACACTGTTCTCTGCAGTATGACTGTGTGCAATTACGTGGTACTACTTGGTGTAGGCTATAAAATTCATCAATAAATAAGTGTTGTCAAATAATTTATAACAGGTAATTGATAGTGCGTAATGAACGGACCGTTAATAATTGATTTTCTAGCAACAAACTGCTTTTGTTTGCTAAACTTGTAATGTTTCAGTGGGAAGCATAAGCAGTGTACTTTACATTATTTTTCTACCACATAACAATATGAATAATGGGAAAATGATGAAAACGCCTACGCCAAGTATTGACAGTGTGAAAGTGGCTGTACGAGTGCGGCCTTTTAGTCAGGTTAGTGATAAATGTTACATTGCCTTGTTGAAAATTTGACTATGACTTTCATTTTATTACTTTTTTAATGATAGTTATCAAACTTGTATGTAAGCTGCTTGTCATTGATGGAATATGAAACTTATTTAAATGAACTTGTTTATTTAAATTAATGAAATAATTTAAAGATCTAAACATAATTCAGTAAACAATTTCATTCTTTGCGCAAGTAGCACAATAAAAAAACTGACAAGAGAAATACTGTCAAGTTAATAATTTTTTAAGCCAATGCAGTTTGATGAATATAGGCATGTATCTATTTTTAATGAATGCACTTTTTTCCCTCAAGAACAAATCATAAACAAATTGCCAATTCTGAATGAACTGTTTGAAATGCATTTGTGTATAAATGTATTTATATAACTTTTTACAAAAACACTGGTCATTAACTTGTGTTGCTACAATATTTCAGGATAAAATATGGATTAAACTTGTTTTTGGACTTGTAGCAATTGTTACTGATTATGAATACATTATTAGAATTTAAGATAATTCTGAACAGTCAACCCATTTAGCAAACTTGACCGTCTGCTATGGATCAAATGATGTACTAGAAACTAAGGGCCCAAAGGAAAATCCTTTGTTCTCTGCCAGTTTCCCGTCTTGTGTAAGTAATTTATTTGTAGCAGTGTGTCCCCCAACAGTCAGGTTGATAACATTGGCACCCAGAGGAAGATCAGGTGTAGTTCTTCCTGGACAGATCTTGAGAACTTCCTGGAGCATTTGAGGACTGCAAAGGATAGTAAGATTTGGAGAAGGGTATGCTAGACAAAACACCACGCCAAAGCTCTTTTGACAGTAACTGACCCTGAATGGGAGACAGTGTAATGACCTGATAAGAGGTCTTTCCCACTTGTACAACCTGCTGCTTTTTCTCTCATCCATCAATATTCAGTAGTAACTATGCACATTTTCAGTTCATATCAGTTCTGCCCTGTCCCTTAACATTCATTTATATTGCACAAAATATTTCAGCAACCAAGCAGATACATAATTAGATAACTATGTAAATATCAATTAATTTGTGATCAGTGAAGTAAATGTTTTGCCCCCCCCCCAAAAAAAAAGGAAAGAACCATTTTATAACCTAACCTTTCAACACACTTGAAAGTAGTTATTCCAGGGGTTATTTTTCGTGGGCCTTTAAATATTGCTACAGTAACTGCAAGTTTTAAACAGTAAGGATGTAGAAGTAAGCGCTAAAACAGTTACGTATTTACACAGCCTGTAGGCCCTTTCTTAAAACATTGCATTTGATTCAAGCCTACCACCAAAGTTGATTAGCTTGGACCAGAACAGCAACAAGGAGGAAAGGGTGAACTTGAGATGATCTGAGGGTCGATGGTTCTGCTTCTCACCCAGACAACTATAAGACCTCATAGGTGACCTAGATTCTGCCTACTTTCTAACTTCATAGCCAGTGTTCATTGTGGGATCAGAGACCCAACTGTGAGCCTCTGTTATAAGAAGCAGTACATTCTCAAGAGCCTTTGAAGATGAACTAGGGTTCAAAATTGGGACTTTTTCACTTGCTGTGTAGACAAGCAAGGACGGTTTTAAGCTCTGAGCCTTGGTTTCCTTCTGTGTAAAATGGAGATACCAATACCTCACAGGGTTGCTGTTATAAGTGTGAGATGAACATATAAATCAGCACAGTGCCTGACAAGTACTCTTAATTGCCACTACAGTTTATTTTTTCATCATCATCTCTTAAATGGTTTGAGATAGTTTACATTTTATACAATTCCCTCGAAGTGTACAATTCAGTGATTTTTAATATATTCACAGATATATGCAGCCACTAAGTTTTAGAAGGTTATCACCTAAAACAAGAACTTGTGCCCGTTAGCTATTACTCGTATCCCGCCAGTCCTAAGCAACCATTGATCTCATCCCTGCCTACGTATTGCCCTGCTCTGGACATTTCATATAACTGGAACCATCAAACATGTAGCCTTTTGTGACTGGCTTCTCTCACTTAGCATCCTGTTTTCAAGGTCCATCCATGTTGTAGCGTGTGTCAAAACTTCCGGCTAGATAATACTCCACTGTATGCGTATACCACATTTTATTTAACCCTCAGTGGATGTTACAAATAATGCTATGAAAAACACTCGTGTACAAGTTTTGTGTGAACACATTATCTCTTGCTTATATACCTAGGCATAGACTTGCTTATTCATATAGTAACTCTTATCTTAAACTGTTGGAGGAACTGACAGACTCCCACCGGCAAGCAGTACAATACGTGAGGGGTCCAATTTCTCCAATCCTAGCAAACATTTCCTTGACTTTATGATAGCTATTCTGCTGGGACATATCTCAAGGTTTCAATTTGCAACCCCCTGATGACTAATGATGCCAGCCATCTTTTCATGTGTATATCTTCCTTGGAGAAATCTATTCAGATCCTTCGCTAATTTTTAAATTGAATTATCTTTATATGTTGAGCTGTTTTTTACATATATTCTAGATACAATTCCTTATTAGATATAAGATTCGCAATTTTCCTCCCATTTCTGTGGGTTGTCTTTTCACTTGATGGTGTTCTTTGAAGCACAAAAGTTTTTAGTTTTATTCCTTGCTTTTGGAATCGTATCAAAGAATCCAAGATCATGAAGACTTAACTCCTTTGTTTTCTTTTACACTTTAGCTCTTATATCTACTATGTCTTTCATCCACTCTGAGTTAATTTTTGTCTATTGGTATGAGGTTAAGGGTCCACGTTGACTCTTTTGCATGTGGCTATCAAGTTTCCGCAGCACCATTTCTTGCAAAGGCTGTTGGTTCCCCCTTTTTGGCAGTCTTGTTGAAAAGCAGTTGACCACAGATGTCTGGGTTTATTTCTGGACTCTCAATTCCATTACATTAATTTGTGTGTCTGTCAAGCCCACACTTTTGGTCATTGTGGGTTTGTTCTAAATTGTGAAATCCGGAAGTGTGAATCCTGTTTTCTTATTTTTCAAGATTGTTTTGGCTATTCTGGGTACATTGCAATTCCATATGGGTTTTACAAACAGCTTGTCAGTTTCAACAAAGAAGTCAGGTGGGTTCTGATAGAGATAGTACTAAATTTGAACATCAGTTTAGGGAGTATTACCACCTTAATGCTACGTCTTATGATCTATGAACATGGGATGTTTTTCCAATCTTTAGGTTTTTAGTTCCAACAATGTTTTTTGGAGTATTCAGAGCATGCTTTGTACTTTTTGTTAACTTTATTCCTAGGTATTTCTTTTTGATGCTATTAGACATGGAATAGTTTTCTTTACTTTCAGATTGTTTGTTTCAAGTGAATAGAAATACAATTGATTTTTGTGTACCGATCTTGTATCTTGCAACCTTACTGAACTCATTTATTCTAACAGAGTTTTAGTGGATTCCTTGGGATTTTCTATATTCAAGATCATGTCATCTGCAAATAGAGACCATTGTACTTCCTTTTCTGTCTGGATGCCTTTTATTTATTTTTCCTGCCTAATTGCCCTGGCTAGAACCTCCAATACCATATTGAACAGAATTGTCAAGAGTAAAAATCTCTCTTTTTCCTGATCTTCGGGGGTACATTTAGTCTTGACCATTAAGTATGATATTAGTTATGGGTTTTTCATCGATGCCCTTTATCAGATTAAGTTTCATTCTAATCCTAATTGGTTGAGTACTTTTATCATGAAAGGGTGTCAGATTTTGTCAAATGCATTTTCTGCATCTATTGAGATGATAGGTAGTTTTGGTTTTCAGTCTAGTGATAGGATATATTACATTAAATCATTTTCACGCATACCCAAGATTCATTTTCATCAGGTGACAGACACAGGGACAACTGCCTCACAATTCCCAAGAGAATGGAACTTGCCACACAGCCACATGGGGAATAATCAGTCAGTCAGAAGGTAAAAGGAGCAAAGAATGCATGACCCACTGCCTCATTTCAGTTTCTGCAGGAAGGAATGGATAGGCCGCAGCAGTTCTCAACCTGTGGGTCACGACCCCTTTGGGGGTCGAACAATCCTTTCACAGGGGTCGCCTAAGACCATCGGAAAACAAAAAGATATTTACATTACGATTCATAACAGTAGCAAAATTATAGTTATAGAGTAGCAACGAAAATAAT